GGATGCTTTTGGATGACACATTTAAATCAATCAGTTGAAGGCCTGAATAGAACAAAAAGACTGGCCTTCCTAAGCAAGAGGAAATTTCTTGGACTTCATCTGCATCACTGACTCTCCTGGGAGATGAGCCTGCCAGCTCACACTGCAGATTTTGGGTCTGCCAGCTTTCGTAATTTTATGATCCAGTTCTCAATCTTTAAAAACTGATGAATCAGGGCCCTGGGTGGCTCAGTCGTTAAGCATCTGCCTTTGGCTCAGGTCATGATCCCAGGGTCCTGGGATCGAGCCCCACATCGGGCTCCCTGCTTGGTGAGCCTCCTGCTCCCCCTGCTTGTGCTGTCAAATAAATAAAATCTTAAATCCTCAGGGTACAGGGGCCCTAGAGCCTGTTTTCAAACAGCTATCCTGAAGTTCCCAGGAAAATAAATCATCACTCTGACCTCGACGGGAGTTAAATACTAGAGGGCCCACCTTTACTCCACCATTTCTTCTGCTCTCCCAGGAGAAGAAAGCTAGGCACATGACCAGCCAAGCCACCAGGCAGTCGACACTGCACCTGTCACCAACTACGGCTGCCTTGAGAAGAATGCATAAAGCATGAGGGTTATGGGAAGTCCTACCTTGGAAATTCTTACCAGAATGTAGGGGTGTATGGGGAGTTGATAGACCGGGTTTTTTTTTTTTTTTTTTAAATAGAGAAAGACCTTTCCTTTTTAATTTTTTTTTTTAGATTTTATTTATTCATTTGTCAGGGAGAGAGCACAAGCACGGGGAGCTGCAGGCAGAGGGAGATGCAGGCTCCCCGCTGAGCAAGGAGCCCGACGTGGGACTCGATCTCAGGACCCTGGGATCATGACCTGAGCTGGAGGCAGTCACTTAACGAATGAGCCACCCAGGCGTCCCAGACCAGGTCCTGTCAACAGCTTTTGTTTTCTAGCCTTTGTTTTTATTTTTGTCTTGAAAGTGCCTTGTGTTGTAGAGCTAAGTTAGGTAGAACTGAAATAAACTTTAAAAATTTGGGCTAATTTAGAAGCCATGTGTGGGTGCTCTACAACAGCTTGCTGAATTGATGAATCCCCACTGAGGTTTACTGAGGACTCCTCTGCCTGCAGATTAGCTGGGCAATTGGGCCACTTACTTCCCCCGGCATGTCTCTCCCACCTGTGAAATGGGAGTGGCAGTGTGGCAGGGAGGACAGACTCCAATTCTGAGACTCCACCATCTCTAAAATCTGATTCTGGAAAGAGGATCACAGAAATTTTTGTTCCTATATAACTTTGCCCCGCCTGGGTCCTAATACTTGACAGCAACATCTCAGGGACCCAAGACCAAAGCTGCTTACTTGCTCCTTAAAGTGACTGGGAATAAAAATGCTGCTCAGAAGGGGTGGAGGTTAAAGTCCTTTACACACACATACACACACACGCAAACACACACACACACTCTTCAAATTTCAGTTTATATTGGCATTATGCAGACAGTGAAATGTTTCTTTTTTAGTCTTTACTTAAATATAGAGAATCTGACAATTGGAAGTCAAGCTGTCAAAAACTTTGCATGGAACTATTACCTAAATTAAAAATTTTGTGCTCAAAAAAGTCTATTCTGATTGACTTTTATAGGAAAATATAAGTATAAATAAAATATAAATGGAGGAGGAAATTGAAGCGAAAAAGTTTCAGTTGCTTATAGTTTGAAAGCCAATGCTGTGAGGAAAGGCAATGTTGCTTGAGCTCCCAAGATAAGGTGGTGGTAGTTCTGATCCTGATTTAAAAAAGTGTTCCTGAAAAGGGATTGCCCTCCTAGGTCACGTGGGCAGGTGTGGCTGTGGGCAGAGGTGTGAGAAGGAACCCAAGGTTGGAGTCAATTCCAGAAGCTGGGAAAAACCAAGGGGTTTACTGGTGTAGTGCTCTTTAAGTGCAAAATGCTTACAGAAAATTGAATCATATTATGAGAACTTGATTCTCATCAGCATCTTAAATCCCTTAGATTAGATCAAGGATAAAGAGCTAAAGGGCTTTTGCTTTTGCCCATGAAGAATTAAGTGCTTTGGGAATTGCCTTCCTGCTGTAGTAAACACCTGGAAAAGTGGACACCATAGACGAGACAACAGTTTTCAGATATTGGACAATAGGCAGCACAGGACTTTTGTCCCTGAAAGGGAAACAAGGTCCACAGCCACCCCAGTGTAGTGCCAGGAGGTAGTATCCAGACCACAGCTCGGGAAGGGGAAACTGAACGGACTCCACTGGCGGAGGAGAGATCAAAGTTCAGGGAGGCCAAGATGGCTAGAATTTATAAGGCAGAGTCCTGGACAGGAAGGAGCTTCGCAGAGACAGAGCAATAGAGATCTGCAGAGGGACCCCCTCAGTCTTGGCTGGAGTACTAATCTGCACGTGCATGGGAGGGAACTCCTCGAGGCCACGGCAGAACCGCCTGGGGTTTAGGCAGGGCTGTTGAATAGTTTCCGACGTTCAGGATGGAAAGACCTCATCATATACTGGCATTGGGTGGAATTTTCAGGATAAATCCTTATTTTCAGCAGGGCGAGATTAACCTAAACTAAAGCTTCATTAGGCTCACCCTAAGAAAGTCTAAAAAACAACACTTGAAAGGATCCAACTGATCACAAGTAATTTAAACTGTGGGTAAGAACAGTCCACTGCTATTTAAGGAATACAACAAAATCCACCACCCAAAAATGTAAGTTTTATAACGCTTGGCATTCAAAAAAAATCAGACATGCAAAGAAGCAGAAAAATAAGACCCATCCAAAATTAGAAAAATCAATAGAAACAGCTCCAGGAATATCAAAGACGATGGAATACTATAATAGACAAGGATCTTAAACTACTACTATAAGTCTTAAAATATGTTCAGGTATATAAAGCAGGGACCAAGTACACATGGCCTATGAGCCAAATTTGGCCCGCTGCCTGTTTGTAAACAAAGCTTTATTGGAACACAACCAAGCTCATTCATTTATGTATTGTCTATTGCTGCTTCCATGCTACCATGGCAAAGTTGAGTAGTGATAAAGATTGCAAAGGGCTGCAAAGCCTAAGATACTTATTTTCTGAGTTTTTACACCAAATGTTTGCTGACCCCTGATGTAAAGGAAAACATGAACATGAGGAGGGAAATGAAAGATATATATATGTGTGTGTGTGTGTGTGTGTGTGTCCCCAAATAAAACTTCTAAGGATGGGACATACAGTATTTGAAAAGTATACTGGATGGAATTAACATGAAGATGAATCTGACCTAATCTGTTTTCAAAGAAGCTCATCATCTGGTGGGATAGGCTGACTTCTTCGACGACAGAGGGGTGGAAAGTGTGTGGCTGGGTTAAAAGAAGAGCAGTCTGCAATTCCAAATTCCTGGAGTTAAGGTGTGTCCCAGGTTAAAATTCCTCACCAAAGGGTTGAAGCACCGTGCCCGCTTCCGGAGGCTGGAGCACAGGCCACGGAGTGGACATTACTCCCTACCCCCGTGGCATGGCCGATGTTGGGAGCCCTGGTTTCAGCTCCGTTGTGGCTTTTTGATAGCACAGACTCTAGTTCCGCAAGCCCACGCTATTATCATCCGTGACACAAGTTGCTGATTTTGGACAATAGTTCTGTGCTAAGCCACCCTCAGAAATACGTTTTTTAAAGGTCATTACGGTCTGAAACCACGAATCATCAGCATGTCTAATTTCAAGCCACTTCCCTATATGAGAAAAGAGGTTTATTTTTTTTTTAGATTTTATTTTATTTTATTTTTTTTATTTATTTGAGAGAGAGACACAGCGAGAGAGGGAACACAAGCAGGGGGAGTGGGAGAGGGAGAAGCAGGCTTCCCGCCGAGCAGGGAGCCTGATGCGGGGCTCGATCCCAGGACCCTGGGATCATGACCTGAGCTGAAGGCAGACGCTTAACGACTGAGCCACCCAGGCGTCCCGAGAAAAGAGGTTTATTGCTCATGTTTGTTTATGTAATACTTCACTATGAGCCAGGCACCGTACTAAGGCTTCTGCCTGGACTTCACTCATGATAGTACTTAGAAACCACCCACCTCCACCCTTTTCTAACTGAAGAAACTAAAGCAAGGGATAATGAAATAACTTGTTCAAGTCCACAAGGCTGGGGAGTTGGGATTCGAACTCAGGGGGATGCCAAGACTCGCCCTCTGGACTACTGTCCTGGCTCTTGTGTAAAGCACCTGTCCTAATGCCTGGTAAAACACTTGCCGTGAGACAGCCATTAATGGATCCCAGATTTTAACAGGACCGGAAAACTCTGTGAGGAGTTGGATTCCACCCCCCCCCCAATTAGGGAACAAAATGGCTGAAGAAAAAAAAAAAATCAGATGTAGAAATTACGCTTTTTCATATATAATAAGATTCCATTTGCTCTTTAGGCAACAACACTTACTTAGAATCTTTGGAAACATCTTACACAGACACCCGGCAGTTTTTTCCTGATTTACTTCCTTCTCATGCTGCCTCCAATCACAACACTTAGATTTCCCAAATGATGAGGCCAAAACAATACATGTGGCTATGAGACCAGTGCTCTTTTCACAAATTCCCATCTTCGTGTCCTCTAAGCTTGTAAGTTCTGGTGCAAGAAAGCATTTTTGGCCAGGCAATTATTTAGTAGTCATGCAGCAGAGACAGAACCAGTGATGAGAATTTTGGTCCATTTACTGCAGCAAGAAGTATAAAGCACAATTCCCTTAGCAGTAGACTTTTTTTTTTTTTTTAAAGATTTTATTTATTTATTTGACATAGAGAGAGAAAGTGAGAGCAGGAACACAAGCAGGGGGAGCGGGAGAGGAAGAAGCAGGCTTCCCGCCAAGCAGGGAGCCCAACTGGGACTTGATCCCAGGACCCTGGGATCATGACCTGAGCCGAAGGCAGACGCTTAACGACTGAGCCACCCAGGCGCCCCTCCTTAGCAGTAGACTTATAGTGGCATGACCTAAGAGGATAATGTGTATGGGACACAACAGCAATGTAGTATTTCAAATGTGTATTTAATGGCCATTCCATCACAATCAAGCAGAATCACATTTCAAAATATATGAAGTCTTAGGTGTGTGTGTGTGTGTATACACATGCGTGTGCACAGACACACACACTTTTTTTAAGGTGCATTTTCAAGTTTTATTTGGGCTTCATTTCTTCTTGGCTGCCTCAGGTGTTCTCGCAGGTACAATTAGCATAGAACTTCTGAGGTTGATAGCTTCTCATGCACTGAAAGACAAGGTTCTAACAACATTGCACATCTTGGGTATGTTAGAAATTCCAAAAGCCATATGTCACTTCAGAAAACTTAATACCAGTCATGAAACATATTATTCAACATAAAATTTAGGCACTCTATACTTTGGAATAACCACAAAATATTCCAACAAGAGTTAATGCACTTTGTGATTACTTCTACTCAAAGGTAATTCTCAATTAAAATCTGTGATTATTAAATAACATTTTAAAATCAGAGCCCATTCCATTTTGTTAACGACTGTGAACCATTTGTAGCATTGTGTTTTAGTTCAAAGATACTAAACTACTTCTATTACTGATCCTGGTCCTCATCTTTCATGGTACATTTTTTACAGAAGAACCTATAACATTCACTGATAAGCATCTCTCCCCGCCACCTCCTGCTAATACCTAAATAAGAATGCCTCTATTCAACCTTAAAGGTATTTTTGTATTTTCTGCTGCCGTTGCTTTCTTAGCATGTAAAACTTTAGCAAATGAGAGGCTTCCTGAAGATCAGGAAACATTAGTCAAGTAGCCCCCTCACTGACTCTTAGGCTGAGTTCATTTCCACAGTCACTTGGTGGCCAAGCATGCTGCTCCATCCCTATGTTCCTACAGTTTGTGCTGCTAGATTGACCAGTAGGGAGCCAAGGGGAAGGATGCTCAAATTTGTCACTCCACTTTGCACAAGCCCAAGGCCACCCAGACCTCATCTGACTTGAGGGAAAACTTACTGATCTCTGCAGACTGGTTCTGGGGCTTATACCTGCTTGTCTGAAGACTGAAGGGGAGGCAATGATGCTGCCTACTGAGATGCCATTAACTCCAGCTGAACTTCCTGGACTTGAACATGAGTTAGCACGGTTAGAATTCAGAACATGGATGCTAATTGTTCCTGTGGAGAACAAGGTGCATTTGCTCAGTGGTATACGTTTATGTAGCCAAGAAAACAACTAGAAAGCCTTCCAGAATTTTCAGATTACAGTCTGCAAATGGACTCATCATAATCACCAATGACTAGCTTATAAAGATCTATCCAGAGAAACAAATTTGAGACATATCTGACTCTAAGTCGTGCAGAAAAGAGCACAATAATTTCCCATAGGAGACTTGGGTGTTTCATCATGGGGATCAATGGTAAGTTAATTACACTATTAATGTTTTCTGGCATACCTGAAGAGACAATTAGCATAAGTAAATCATGAGTGAGATGACAAGTTGCTTAACATTTGTTTCTGTTCATCAGAGGACATGTGAGCTTGCTGTAAGCCTCTTAGCGAGGAGGGATGGGCAGAGAAGGGCACAGGAATGAGAGGTGGTTAACTTCGGTTGCAGCAAACAGAATCAGAACCAGTTACTACTAGTGGCTAAACATGGATGTGAGATGCAAATCAGGTAAGACTCGTTCTAGGTTTAGAAATTCACCTCACCAAGAGGCTGAAGGTTGATTTGGACAATTCCCGTGACATCTAGCCGCCTCTCCTGAGCAAAGAGGGTGAGGGGGTAAATGAAGGTGGATTCTAGTGGAGGCTGCTTTTCATCCTCTCTCAGAGCTTCATCTTCCTATGGATACTCTACAACATCTATCTTGTGATTAGGACCCGGGGCTCACGACAGCACAGTTAAGATTACAGTCCCTTTCTGGTGTTTTAGAATGGCCACAGCTTGCTCATGAGTAACACCTTCCAGCGTCTCGCCATTGACAGCTAAAATCTGATCGCCTCGCTTCAACTGGCCATCATCTGCAGCTGCTCCCTACAAACAAGAGACATTCCAGTTTAATCCAGGACCAAGCAGTTCACAAATAATATTAATATTATCATGTGCTTATGAAAAGAGTAACTTTAAAAGCTACCAGTTAAAAGTGATTTCTAGGTAATGTTTTTCAACCAGGAAAATTACGAATGTAGGATGTGTTACTTGAATAATGGTTGAATAGTAACCATAATTATGCACTGCTTAGGTAACATACTAGTAGACATGTACTCACATTCACATTTCTTTTTTTTTTTTTTTAAGATTTTATTTATTTATTTGAGAGAGAGAGAATGAGAGAGAGCACATGAGAGGGGGGAGGGTCAGAGGGAGAAGCAGACTCCCTGCCGAGCAGGGAGCCCGATGCGGGACTCGATCCAGGGACAGGATCATGACCCGAGCCGAAGGCAGTCGCTTAACCAACTGAGCCACCCAGGCACCCCACATTTCTTTTAATACAAGTAGGACCTTATTTCAATATTCAGTATGGAATGGAATTTGAACGTCATATTCACGAATACATAGACACTGACAAAGGCAGAACTGAATCTGGTGTTAGTCTTATTGCCAGTAACATCATTACATAGGGTTCCCATTGCATTATTAAGATATTAGCACTGAGGTGATCTATCAAAAATAAGTGTAGCCTCGGGCACCTAGCTGACTCAGTTGGTAGATCATGCAACTCTTGATCTTGGGGTCAAGAATTCCGAACCCCATGTTGGGTGTAAAGATTAAATAAATAAACTTAAAAAATAAATGCAGCCTCTAAAATGGAGTGAATTGTACTGTATGTGCATTGTATCTCAATACAGTTGTTTTACATAAACATTTACATAAAATACACAAAGTGTAACATCTCTAAAATTTTGTAATATCACATTCAAAAGCTTCAACTTCATTTATCTTTCATCATTTAGGATTCTGAATGATTACTTTCATTATATACTCAGTCATGCATGGCTGCTCAAAATGGCACAAAGCAAGTGAAACGGGCTTTTTAAAATTCTAAAACCAAGTTATCTAAAAATACCGTGATATTACTAGAAATATTTTGGATGAATAAGGAAAGAAAATAACCTAGGCAATGATTTGTAGGAGGCTTTCTCCTTTTGTTGGGGTAACTGTAAAAATGCCTTGAGAAATTAGTGCCGGGAGAGTCCCCTAAATAATGTTGAAGTGCTAGGGAAAATAATCGAGGCCCACAGTCCTGATGGACTCAGGCAGGAGCCAAACTGAGAGGCACTAATGCTCCAGAGACCTGTGTCTACCTGCAGTATGAAGGTCCTCAGGTGATGGGTGAATTATCTAGAATTTCAAAACTGTGAAAAGGGTGGAATTCTGGTATTAAGGTATAATAAAGAATATTCAAAACCAGGTCTGTACTGGGGGCTAATACCAAAATTAAAAAGCTTATAACTTCATTCAAATCTTTTTTTTCTTTTAAGAAAGTATGTTAACTGCAACACAGACAAGATTAAACAGCTTGTGGATAAAATCAGAATTACTTGGCTAACTTGATTTTATTAAATGTTACATGCTAAGATCTAAGGACTTTAGGAAACCTCAGATATTTGTGTACTTTTTTTGAAAAGCATATCCAGTTTTTTAAGTTTTCATTTTCAGTAATGCAAAAAAGGGTGACTTTTCAACTTTCTGGAATCTGTATATTTTTGCAGGTATTGCTGTGTTTACCCGGTCATTACTACTGACTTCTCCTGCTTGATCAGTGTGGCATTTGTAGACTAAGCAAAGGAAGGAAGAAATAAATGATTCACAGACAGACCTCCATCTAGTTCATAAATGTGGCTTTACTGACTTGCTGTGTCCCCAGTTTGTCACTCAGCCTTCCTTAATACTGTAAAATAGGCATCTACTAACTACCTGTTGGCCTATTCTAAGGAGTGAGTGTATGGCACATGGTATTTACTCAATAATGGTGGTAGTGTGATAAAATAAACTCTCATGGTGATTGAGCTCATGTTTTCAGATTTCACAGTCTCTGAAAAGCTGTTCCCTAAATGCTCAGGATTGTTGTAGTCATTGTAAGCCAATTTCTTGTTGGCTTATGGTAAAATCTGATTGCTGAAAAGACTGAGACCTAAAGCTGGCTTTGACTTTGAAGTTTCCAATCAAACACCTGAAAGAAATGGAAGGTTCTGATAGACCGTTAATCAGATTAAGTCCCAAAAATCCTATACATTCAAAGTGCCTGTCACGCTTCCTATTTCTGGAGGGGAAAAAAAGACCTCGATGGGCCAAATTAATAGCTTAGTTGAGCAAGAGAATTATTAAAAGAAGCTTAGGGACACTAAGAAGGTCCCATAAAAACCCACACTGTGGGTATCTGAGATCCAGAAACTTGAGAAGACAAACATTTTTAAGAATAAATGATCGTTGCTGGGCGCCTGGCTGGCTCAGTCAGTAGAGCATGTGGCTCTTGATCTTGGGGTAGTGAGTTCAAGCCCCACGTTGGGGTGTAGAGATTACTTAAGTAAACTTAAAAAAAGAGTGTATGTTCATTGTTTAAAAACATGGAAAACATATGGCGATTGTTCCTACATCCTCAAAATTCCTATGGAGGAAATGTTTAGCTTAGTGTCAAAATTCATTTTTAGAAGGATTTCACCATTAAAAAAAAAACAAAAAACAAACAAACCAAAAAACTCTTCTGCTAGTTTTTGGTTTATTGAGTCTCTAAAGAAAACTTTTAAATTTGGATATATTGGTTCACTCAAACAAGTGAAAAAAAAAGTCATCCAATGAGATTTCATTATAATAAACACTATGGAACTATCTAAAACTAATGATAATAATTGTTTGTAGTGGCATATTCTTTTATTGAGACTGAACTAAGTAGGCTATTAGCTAGGGCTTTAGAACTTTTTTTTTTTTTTTAATTCAGAGCTTTTCATTTTTAGGTGTTCTTCACTTTACAAACAAAGGTCCATTCCTTAAAAAATAAAACATATCAAGGATATTCAATATTTCCTCCTAGGTTACCACTTGCAGACGTGCTTTCTAAGTGAGCACTTTCAATGAGGACCTTTGAAGAGAGATTCTGTGGGAGCTTCCGTGCATCCATTATCCCCACTACTTTGTCCCACTGTGATCTGATGGTAGTTTCTTTTCAAAACCCACCAGCCATGCATGACCATTTCATTCTCAGCTGTATGTTCTGTGGACCTGACCAAAGGGCCTGCACCCGGTCCCACTGTCTGTGAGCTGTCTAGATGGGTACAGCTGGTGTGACTGCTAACTCCAGGCTGTAGGTCAAAAGGCCTGAGAAACTAACCAGTCCTCTGTTTGAACACAGCAGATCCACCTATGAAGTGAGCAGGGGATTACAAACATTCTGGAAGAGCTTTATGGAGGCAAAGGCAGGGAAGCAGAATGTGTTTTTCACTATTCTTACCTACATAGCTGGCTTTTGTAAAAAGCAAAGTATAATAATGCCCCCCCAAATAATTGTCACAACTACTTTGTTACATATATATACATATATTTAAATATATCCAAATTTAAAAATGAAAATTATCACAACTACTGTTGTCTTAGGAAAAGGAGGGTCTGTATGTAGCTTACCACCTTGGGAATTATCAGACTGGGGCAGCACTGCTATCCAGAATGTTTCTGACCTGCCTTTCCTCTCCCCTTTTGCCCATCACCAGGTCAACAGGTGTGTGGTTTGGGAATAACAGGTCTTCTTAATAGGCACCCTAACAAATTGGAAACAGGTGGGTAAATCTGCAGCTGCCTATTGTGTTCCAAAAGGAAATGCCAAATGGCTTAAGGATTATGTCAGGTCATAGTTAGGTTCCATTAACAGGTGGTAAGAGCTGCACAGGTAAAAGTGAACTTGTTATTTAGTGTATAGTATAGCTTTCTAGAAAGAGTATCTATCTTATTTCTTCTCTTGAAGACCTTTATTTCTTTAGGAAAAAGCAGTAGGAGGCCACTGGATCAATGAGTAAACAAATGACTGCGATAAAACCAATGAAGAGTAAAGTTGCACTATCAACACTAAGTCCTTTCCAGAGATCTTCAAAATTTATAATAAAATTGAATTTCAACTTTAAAAATCACAATAAAGTTAAAAATAACTCATCTAAGGGGCGCCTGGCTGGCTCAGTTGGAAGGGCATGTGACTTGATCTCTGGGTTGTGAGTTCAAGCCCCACATTGGGCGTAGAGATTATTTAAATAAAGAAACCTAAAAACAAAAACAAAAACAAACCCTTACCTAAGAGCCATCTAGAGGCAGCGGTAGGAATTTATACCATGACCTATGTATCAAGTAGGATGTACTGCTATGTTTAGTTCCTGAGAAGCACTATTACCCAGTCAGGGTCTAATTTAGTGGCCTGATCCTGCAAGTACCTTAGCAGAGGCCTGGAATAGAGAGAGCAACTTAAGCTAAAGCATCCTGAGGTTACTGGTGACAGCCAGCCATTAATGCGGTACCGACCCAAGGCCCGTACAGAGCTTTCTGCTTCCCGGCCCTCTGCTGTCATCTTTTCTTGAAGGAGAAAGCCAAACTTCTGTTCTAGCCCAGAATAATACTTCCAAGGCCAGCTTCCAAAGAGTGGGGAATTGCTCCTTATATCGTGTTCTTGAAAGAAGACACTCTTTTAAAATCTACTTTTGTAATAGGGTCCAAAGAAAATTACTCTTCCTGTAACTCCACTCTTATAAAAGAACTCCTCTTTCACTAGTCTGGTGTGGGAATGTCCTACACAAGGTTAAAATGAAATAAGCATATAAGCACACACCCAGGTAGAGGTAAAAGTAAGCAAGGCAAAGCACTTTAAAAAAAAATCTCACCTAGGTTTAATAAAAAAAAAAAAAAGTACAGTAAAAAGGAAAAAAATACCTTTGCAAATATAGTCTTGACATAAATTGGCAGGTCTCCATGGGGACTTCCATAACCCCCTACAATACTAAACCCCAATCCTTCAGAGCCTTTCTCCAAAGTAATAATCTTAGGTGGAGGTGTTCTGAAAACACAATGCACGCTGTTTAATTCAAGAATAGATATTGAGAGGGAATTTCATTTTAATGGAAGAACACAGATTTGAGAGAGACTTTCATACTGCGAAACTATGAAGGCCAGTTTATGAAATCGAACTCTCAGAGAGCAACCTAGAAGCTTACTTTCACATTTCCCGTGTCACGCGGGACTGAGGAGCAATATGTCTTTAATGACTTGATGTTTTAGGGGTTTCTCTTTCGTAAAACTGTTTTTTAATGAAAAATAAAGTCATGATGCTGAGCTTGTCACAGCACCCTTCTATATGCTTAGTTTTTTTTTTTTTTTTAAAGATTTTATTTATTTATTTGACAGAGAGAGACACAGTGAGAGAGGAACACAAGCAGGGGGAGTGGGAGAGGGAGAAGCAGGCCTCCAGCTGAGCAGGGAGCCCGATGCGGGACTCGATCCCAGGACCCTGGGATCATGACCTGAGCTGAAGGCAGTCACTTAACCAACTGAGCCACCCAGGCGCCCTATATGCTTAGTTTTTAACCTTGACACTTACTGTTTAAAGCTGAATGAGACTGTCTTTATATCCTTAAAGAAGGTGCGGGCAGACGGAGAGGTGGGCTTTCGCTTAGCTTAGGGGCAGACCGCCAGTCTGCAGGTGGGCTTCTGTGCAGGATAGGGATGCCAGCCGCAAGCTCAGCACACGGCTGCTCCTTTTCTGCCCAAGTAGCCCCATACACCTCGCCCACCACTTCCCCCTAGGGGACCCAGGGTGGGAACTCATTCTTCAAAGGCCCCCGTCCAAGGTGATGCTTTCCTTTGGGAGAGTCAGCCGCTCCTCCTTTGTATCCCTCTGCAGTGCGGCCAGATGTCCACCATGCACTCGCTATACTGTGGCGTGCTGCTGAGCCATCTTTCTCCTCTACCAGACTACGAACTCCTTAAGTCTCTGTCACCTGTCACCTTTGTTCCCGGCTGTCTGCATTGTGCTTGTCACAAACTCAGGATCATGACTGTGTCCGTGAGAAGTGAAATCCGGGAGAAAAGAGAGAAACCAAGGAGAAGCAAAATGGATAAAGACTGTCTGTTTCAAATGGGTAATTTAGATTTTCAAAGTTTCGTCCAGTGTGGAAGTCTTCTCTCTTAGAAATAACATGGCTAAAAATTAAATGTGGGCTCAAGTCGTTTAAGCTTAGCGAATGCCAATTTCTTATTCCCAAATGCCCTTGTCCAAAGGGTGAAATCCTAAAGGAACCCCGGAATCCCGGCACCTGTCTTCCCCGTCGGGGGTTCATATTTACACACTGGGCGCCGCACCTGGTTTGTGGCAGCATGCATGTCCGAGGGGCAGAGCTGTGTGGTATAAACTCAGCCGTTCATGGATTTAGAGAAATCTGCAAAACTGGGATATAAGCCACCTTTGCATACGCTGTTCTGTCTGACTAGAATATTCTTCCGTCTCCCCCTTCCTCAATTTTGCCCGGCTTATTTTCGGGTGGATTTTCAGCTGGTTCACACCGATGTACTTACTGGTTGTTTACAGCAGGCAATCCATAGTAATTGCTGAACGTCCGTGTCATATAAATTGTTAACTGTTTTCAATGCCACTCCTGCTTATTCCAATTCTTTTAAAACTCAGCCGAAGTGGTAGTGTCTCCAAGGACACGCCCTAACAGGGTTGTGCCCCACTTCCACGGTTTCACAGCACCCTGTGCTTATTTATCTTTCTCGTGGAACGTGGCTCCCCTATACTTATCAACTCTTACAAACGTGGATTTATGGGCCTGTTTTCCCAATTCTCTGGCAGTTCCTTGAGGACTGGGGCAATGCCTTCACCTGTTTTTTAAATTTGAATCCTCAGAGCCCAGTACGTGTACAGTAGCCGGCCTTCGGAAGGTGCTCAATAAAGATCCGCTGAAATAATGATGAATTATCCCCTACGGCCACACGGTAATGATGTCATGAACAAGGCTCCCCATTTCATGACTTCGTGGCCTTGTAAGTATTCTCCGTCATGGCGCACCAGCCAGACATGAATTGGATAATACATGGTTCCTCTTCAAACGCAGCCCCCTGTTTCTAAGGATACTGAAATAGGAATCTAGATGTCTGAAGTCATTGTCTTAGAGCTAGGCCCTGGGAGCCACCAAATCACTAGAGACCTTCGTAATTGTGCTTCTTCGTGATGAGAGACCTGTTTTCACGGGGAGAGGGGGAGAATGTAACTCCACTCCTCAGTTGGCAACCTCAGATGGAGTTTGCCTCCATTTATCTCACATTTTCAATTCGTTTTAATTTACTTTCATATAGAAGACTAATAAAAAAGAATCTCCAAATGTTAACAGCGGTTGGATTATAAATAATTTATAAATCCTTTTATGCTAGTGGTTCCCAACTTGCCAGGAGCTGTGGTTCCTAGCAAAGGAACCAAGAGTACAAGGGCATCTCTGTACTTCCATAGGGACATCAAAGGATGCTAAAGGTGCACCAGGTACTCTTCCTATAATAGGGTCAGGGCCACTGTAACTTGAAAATATCGTAATTTTATGTATTTGTCATATTTTAATAGCATGCATTTATTACTTTCATAATGAGAGAAAAATAAAAACGAGCTTAAGTTTAATATTCCTTCCTCAAGAAAAACAAACTCAAAGGTGTCATTTAAGCTGCGAAGTACCGGGAGAAAGTTCGAAATGTCTGTGATCAACAGCGCTTTCCAATGAAACATTCAGATCCGTCAACAAGCATTTACTGAGCACCTACTGGTGACCAGGCACTGGCGGTACGGAGAGGCATAACTTTAGGCAGCATTTCTGAAAATACAGATCCTCTGCCGATCCGTAGCAAAACTGCCCTGGGGAATCCACTACAGACCACCTCATCAGAGTCTCTGAGAATGGGGCCAGAGAAATGAGCCATTTTACATATGCTCCGTGGATATTTAATGTGCACATTCCAGTGTGAGAAACCCTGCTTTCATGAACAATTGTAACAGCAATGATGGGTTTTAATGAAGAATCCCAGCAAGTATAACAGTAAGATTTAATCTCGGAACAAGATTTTAGCTTAGAACACACAGTTCCCTGCATAATACAGCAGGGTGCACCTGGGCTGTGAATCTGTGATTTCTTAAGGAAGAAGGAACCGTGTCAAAGTAACCAGGTGCAGTGTGTGTGCAGGCCCTTGACAGTAGTCTCTTAGGAAGTTCTACGTGGAACCAAGCCTGGTGAGAAATCAGGAAACCTTGGTGCGTTCCTGGAGATTCTCTAGGAGTGAGGAAAGGTAATGTGTACTTCATCACTCTTCTTCTCTAGAAAGCACACTCTAGATTCTGGAAAGGTCTCGCTGAGCCTTGCCCACACACGTAATAGGCACTGTGCATCTCGAATACTCACTCTGTGTCTTCTGGATGGTGTTCAGCAGCGGGAGAACCAAGGTGGTAGCTTGTAGACATGTTTTCAAGCTGAGTTGCTATGGCGCTTATGTTGGTATCTGCTACAACCTGGGGGAAAATCAGAACAAGAAAACCCACTGTAAGTCCGGGGAGAATTAGAGAAACCACACGATCTTCAATGGTTGGTTCTCATCCTCATCTGACTCAACCTATTTGCAGCATTTGACACAAATGGATTATTCTCTCAAACTACTGTCTTCATTTGGCTACCATGACACCATACTTTCCTAGTGTCCTTTCTATTTCCTGAACCTCTATGGGAGTGCCACAGGGCTCCGTCCTTGAGTTTCTTATCTCTCCCATCTAAACCTCCTCTTAGTTAGCTCATCTTATCTTGTCTCACCCTAGTTGATCATCTAAATACCATCTCTGTAATACCAATCTATGTAATGATAATTTCTGAATCTGCATCTCCACACCACCTCTTAACTCCAGATCTCTCTATCCAATCACCAGTTAGTGGGATGTCCAGCAGGTATGTCAAAGCTAACATGCCAGGACTGAGCCCACCCCCTCCGACCTCTGCTCTGGTAGTCTTCCTCATCTCAGGTAACTACAGCTTCATTCTTTCAGTTTCAACAAATGCCTCGGTGTCGTCCTTGACTACTTCTCTCACAACCCACATTCAGTTCTCATAAAATTCTATTGGTCTTTTTTTTTTTTTTTAAGATTTTATTTATTTATTTGAGAGAGGGAGGGAGAGCACAAGCGGAGGAGGGGCAGAGGCAGAAGAAGCAGGCTCCCCGCTGAGCAGGGAGCCCGATGCGGAACTCGATCCCAGGACCCTGGGATCATGACCTGAACCAAAGGCAGACGCTTAACGACGGAGCCACTAGGCGCCTCTCTATTGGTCTTTCTACAAAATCATCTCTTGCCTGGAGTTCTACAAAAGCCCCCTGGCTGTTCTCTTTGCTTCAGCCCCTCGCCGACTCATTCCATAGCAGCTAGAACGGTCCTGTTCAAACACAGCAGATGATTACACTCCTCTGCTTAAAACTGTCCAAAGGAAACCCAGCTCCCTAAGGTCACAAGTTTAAGTCCTACTATGACCCACAAGGTCATCTGCGGGTAACCTGCCCAGTTATGTCTCTGCTTTCAGCTCTTAACATTTTCCTCTGCGGCCACGGTGTTCCAGCCACACTGGCCTCCTTGCTGTCCCTCTAACATGCTGGGGGCGTCTCCACCTCAGTGCTCCGCTGGTGCTCCACCTTCTGTCTGGAACACTCTGCGATCAGCATCTGCACGGGTGGCTCCTTCACTTCCCACAGCTCCTTGGCCACTGTAACTAAAATTTCCACACCAACACTCAGCCCAACATTTCATACCCTCCTCTGCTTTGTGTTTCCTTCTCACCACCACTACTGTCTAACAAACTTCATCTATTTTACCTTATTTATCTTATTGTCTGTCGCATCATATCAGAGTGCGAGGGCAGGAAGCTTGTCTGTTTCAGTCACTACTGTATCTTCATTATGTACAACACTGCCCAGCATGTAGATGCTCAAATAATATTTGGTGAATGAAAGAAAGAAAGAATGACTATCTGATTCCCTATTGTTTTTTTTAGATGGTTCCAAACAATAGTACATGACAGGTAAACATCCACTTTACATTTGTAACCTGCAAATAAATTCAAAAGCATTCAAAGGAAATACGGTATGGCTGTGACAGCTCACACTGGGACAAAGAATGAGGTTCTGGAGTTCAGTTTCTGCCATTTAAATGGTGCTGTGCCTGAATTTCAGCTTTCTCATCTGTTGAACGGGAATCATAAAAGCCTGCCTTGTATGCTTAGCCTGGAGATGCCTTCCATCTCCACTAGTTCTGAGCTGCTTTCTCCAGAGCTCCCGGGCTACTCCTCGTTCTGACCGGTGGTTCTTCTTCTAGGTTATAGTCATCAGTGCAGAAGTACGGAGTGAGGCACCTGACACCAATGCCAAGAACTGGATTTGGCTGCAGTTTCAGAAAGAGCCAACAGAGGGCACGGCTGCCTAAACTGCTAAGTTTAGCTGCAACTAACAGATTAACAATAGTAACAATAGAGTTTTTACAACAAGGAAAGCAAGGGCCAGCCCTGGCGAGTCAGAACACATTTTGGTGAAGTATCCTATTCTGGGGGAAAACACAGCTGTGTGCAAGTTATGGAATCTTCTCGAAATACCATCATATACAGAATGGCTGAATGAACTGGGCAAATATTTAGGATAAGAGACAAAGGGGAAAAGATAGACTTGCCTTGACCACAAGAGCCCCTCCACTTTCCATCAGCCCTTTCTGTACTCTCCCCACAGCTAGTGTATCGGAGAATTTGTCTTTGCATATGACCTCCTAGTCTGATATATCCAATTGTCAACTTACCATCTGCATTAACCAAATTCAAACTTTTGATCCAACAACCATTTTCTCATTCATTTTCCCCCTTAGTAGATGGCACCTCTGACTACCTGATTAAAATGTGCTAGGTATAAGATTGAAAATACTTTTTTTTTCAAATATTTTTAAAGATTTTATTTATTTGACAGAGAGAGACACGGCGAGAGAGGGAACATAAGCAGGGGGAGTGGGAGAGGGAGAAGCAGGCTCCCCATAGAGCAGGGAGCCCGATGCGAGGCTCAATCCCAGGACCCCGGGATCATGACCTGAGCCAAAGGCAGACGCTTAACCCACTGAGCCACCTAGGTGCCCCAAGATTGAAAATACTTAATTGCTCACTGGTGACGACTGTCTAACTAGAAAGGATACCGGGATGCTAACCACACAGGTGCTTACTGAGTATCAACCTGATACATCATCCCTCTCTCACCTGCCATATGTAATCCACCACCAAGTCTTCTGGATTCTCTCTCTAAAATGCTTCTCAAATCCGTTTCCTTTTTGCTTCTGTGGTGACCATCCTAATCAATTCATCATCATCATCTGCCTTTTAACCGGCATCCCCACTCATCCTCTTCCAATCTCTCTTCTATACAATAATAGCCAGTTATCTTTTTCAATATAAAATGGATAATGGCAATCCCCTGCTTAAAACCTTTCGGTGGTCTCTCTCTGTACTTAGAATAAAACTCAGACTCCCTAAGTATATACACAAAAGTCCTCCCCTAGGGCGCCTGGGTGGCTCAGTTGGTTGGGCGACTGCCTTTGGCTCCGGTCATGATCCCAGAGTCCCGGGATCGAGTCCCACATCGGGCTCCCTGCTCAGCGGGGAGTCTGCTCCTCCCTCTGACCCTACCCCCTCTTATGCTCTCTCTCTCTCTCTCTCTCTCTCAAAAAAAAAAAAAACAAAAAACGTCCTCCCCTAGCCTGCTCCTCTAATCTCATCAGTTTCCTTCCACTCCACTCCACATTCCAGTTCTCTCTGCCCACAATCTGCTCCCCCCCAAAAAAACACCAGTTGGCCTGGTATCAGCTTACAAGTCACATTCCTTATACAAGCCTTCTTTACTACTGGTGCTTAAATTAATTTTTCTTGTTTTCCTCTCCATAGCACTCCCAAAATCTTTCTCACAAATTTTGATGATACATATTTCCGTGACTGCTAACGGGTCTCCCCCACCTCCCCATCACAGGATTCATGAGGATAAGGACTGCTTCTTAGTATGAACATGCCTGGCACGTAACAATTGCTTAATGAGTATTTGTGGAGTGAATGAACCCAAAACCTTCCTAAGGAATAGGGATTATGGGACTCAGTTTTCTGAATTTCCACAGAACAGAGTGAGACTGATAGAGGTTACAAGGAGATTGGTTTTGGGTCCTTTTAAGGAGAAAAAAACTCTGGTCAGTCCGTTACAGAATGGAACGGCACAGCTTGTTAGAGCATGAGCATCCTGCCAAAGCAAGCATTCAAATAGAGGCTCAAAATCTATCAATTTGGGATATAGCAAAGGGGATTCCTATATTTGGTGGGAATTTGGACTTGTACTCTCAGCTAGCCATAAACAGACTCTCCATTATGGGGCTGAAGAGGAAAGTTGATAAAATATTGTTTTCTCTAAGGTACCTTCAAAAGCCAAGTTTTGATCGCAACCTGCTCCTTTCTTTGCCCATTTTTTCAACCTATAACAGCGCCACGACTACTGAGTATCAACTGAGCACTTACTTTATGCTAAGCACTCTCCTGAGTCCCTACAGAGGTAGGTACCACTATTATTTCTGTATTTTAGACAGACGAACCTGGAGCTGAGAGGTTAAGTAACTTTCCCAAGGTCAGTTAAGGAGTGAAGGCTGGTTTCACTTCCGTGTCATTTCACTCTAGAATCTTGTGCTCTTAATCATACGCAATGTTAGGGTACAGACCTGGTCTCGGACTCTCACATCAGGCAATCTGACTCACGCTGCATATAGTTAAGTACAGTCTAGATATGACAGTCAGGGAGGAAGAGGGGCAGAGAGATAGTTGAACAAGCAGTTGCAAATAGAGCAGACCGTCATGGCGTGTGGTTGACAGCAGGCGGGAAAACTCCCTGGCTCTCACAAGGTATTATAAGAAGAGGGCTCAGGGCATGGGAGATAGATGCCCATGGATGTTCTAGAAGGATCTTTTTTTTTTTTTAGCTTTTAGAAAGAGAATACACTTTCAAGAGTTCATGAAATCAGCCGTATAAATTGTGAAACCACAGTCACAGTTTTATTTGGGTAAAAATTAAATTTTTTTATCTAGCCAGAAAATATAAAAACACTTCTAACAGCACCATCTTACAGAAAAACTCACATCCCTCTAAAATCTGAAGGCCTCTTCTTACCCCCAACCCTGAAATAAAAAGGGCCTCCCAACCATTGATGATATTAAATCCAAGGGGCTTACCTAGGATCCTTGGAGTTGTTCAAGCTCCTATTTTGTAGGAGTGGAAGCCAAGAAGCTAGATGGCAAATGTGAAGGATTTTCACTGATGGCTTAGTCTTTTGTAGGAAGACAAGGAGACCATAAACCGATCACCCCCAGAATGACTTTAGAGCCCCAAGATGTCTCCATTAACCATCATTAACCACCTTCGTCTCAGAGTTGATTGGTCTTCCCAGGGATAGATTTGTGAAAGGTGATACTCTGA